TACGCTACTAAATGTTAATTATATGTAATTAAAATTTATAATAAATAAATATTATGTTTAAATATATAAATTATATTGAAAATTTAAATAAATATATATTTTAAAATATACAAAAATTATATTTTAAATTTATGATAAATAATTTATATCTAAAAAAAATATTTTTATTTATTAATAAATTTTTAAATATTAATATTTAATTAATTAATAATTTTGATAAATAAAAATCAAATTTCATAAGAAGTTAAGAAAATTCTTATAAATCATTTCCTTTAAGAAATACGTTTAAATTTAATAAGAAGTTAAGATTTATTTTTAATATATAAGGATTAATATATACTAGATGGATTATGACATTTTATACCTCTAATAATTACACAAATAGAAAATTAGATAGTTGTGAGTAGTTATTGAGATGACATATAAAAAGTTATTGTGAGTGACTCTTTAAAAATGAGAGATACATTTTAGAAGATAAAGTGTGCCTACAATTATTAATTATAAAAAATCAACTATTGAGATTTTTGATAAAATAAAATTCTTACAAAATAAAAGCTAAAATTAATTATAATATCAATCGTTGATTTGTTAAATAACAATTATTATTACACTTCATTTTTTTAAGTGCAATTCCTTTATTTTGAAGGAGTTAGATCCTTGTTTTAAGGATTTAACTCTTCTAAAGTGGGTGAATTTCATTTTAAAAAATTAAGTGTTATAATAACTATTGATTAAAGAATTATTTGTTGATATTATAATAAATTTTAGATTTTATTTTATATGAATTTCATTTAACATAGATCTTAATTATTGATTTTATAATTAACAACTATGATGTATTTTTTCTTTTAAACATTCTTTAAAGTTAGATCCTTATTCTAAACAATTAACGATTTAAATACAAATCACTTGCTATTAGGTAATTTTAAAAAAACAAATTATCTATCTATATCTATAATGTATGTTTATGTTTTTATGTTTATATATAACATAAATAGGATATTTCTCTCTGATTTCACATTTTAAATATATTTATACCTCTTTAATATATATTAGTGGAGTTGAGACACTAAATGTCTCTATAAATTTTACTTTAAAAAGTACTTTAAAAATTAAAAATAGTGAAGTCTCTCCATAGAAGTGATGTGTGGTTACTAAAAAAAAAGTAAAAATAAATAACAATCATTATGTATAGTTACAAATTTAGACATAACATTTAAATAATATTTTAAGGGTAAAGAAGTAAAAAAATAATAATAGTGGATACCAAATCAAGATATCCTTTTATTAATGTTATACATTATATATTATAGATATAGACTAATCTTTTTCTCACTATTATATTTCTTAAAGATAAAATTATATATATATATATATATATATATATATATATAGATTTTAAAATTACCAACTCATCGTAAAAAAAACTAACTTACTAATTTATATATAGGGATGGCAATATAAATCAAATATCGTGAGTCAATCTTTTAGGATCTGTCTGTGTTAATTTTAGGTAGTGATAATTGTTTTCGTTACTAATTTTGAATTTCATTAAATATAAAGACCATAGTAGACCGTTATAGATAATTTTATAAAAATAGTAAAATTTTGCTTACAAAAAGAATATTATAAATAAAAAATGATGTATTAGATAAGAAGTCAAAATAATTCCTTAAAAGTTTAAGTTGAAAACTAACCACTAAAAATACTATTAGGTAAGATATTTTTATTGCTAAAATAATTGAATAAATAAAAAAATGAATTGGATAAAATGTTAAAAGATATTTACAAACCTCCTGATAACTCCTAAAAATGTTTTCGTAGAAGATAATCTCACCTTTAATATATAGAGTATGATTTAAATGAAATACAAAGTGTTTCGATCCTATTAAGTTTAACATATAAATGTCTAAATTATATTTTTAGTCTTTTATCTTATTTGTTATATTCATCTTGATCTTTTATCTTGTAAAATGTTTATTTTGGTCGTTTATTTCTTAAATTTGGACCAATTTAATTTATTTATTTTTAATAGAGATTGTTTAAAATTTTAAGTTATGATTTTGAATATTTTTTTTATTGATTTAAGACTTAAAATTCTTTTTATTATATTTAATTATATAAAAACTATTAATGCATTTGAAGTTTGAATGAAAAAGTGTTGTAAATATGGTAAAAATTACATAAAAATAAATTTAAAAGACAATAAAAATATTAAAAAATAATTTTATATTATTTTTAAATTATTTATGACACAATCTTTTTAAACAATTTTCAATATATTTATAACCCTTTTAAAATTTTAAGGTCAAACGAATTTCACAATTTTTTAATATTTGATCTCCTATATCTTTTAGCTATCTCTTTAATCATTTTAATAGGAAAAAATATACTTTTTTATCTCTCTATATTTTTTTAGGAGTTTTGAAAAAGAAAGATATTTATAAAAAAAATTATGATTTGAAAATATATAACTGCATAAATTAGTGGTTATTTTTATAACATCAGATAAAAGAATAAAAATGATTTATTTATTAGTGAGTAAGTAATTATGAAGTGTGATATATAGATTTATGAAGAAGAGTGTCTGATAAAAATATAAAAAAAATAAATATTATTAATTTTTTCATAATAAAGAGCATCAAAAAAGTAAACAGATAGTTTAAAAAAAAATAATAAAAACAAAACAAACAGATAAAAGTATACTACAAACAAACAACCCGAACCTCACCAACCCTCAAAAAGTAATTACTAAACATTAGGATTATAAATAAACTCATATTTGTGGATAATATTTGAACTCATTTTAATTTTGACGGAGAATACTCGATTTGACCGGGTATTTTTCTAATTATAATCGTAATATAATAGAAAAATAGTTTTAAAATATTGTGCATTTTTTTTACAAAAATAAAAATTATTTTTGACGGGTAAGAGTACAAGTACGGGTATATCCCGATACCTGACGCCCGATGGGAATGAAGACGAAAATAATATACTCAATGGGTACAAGTACATGTATCATGAAGAGTTTGAGTTGCAAAGACGGAAGCGAATATCATGAAACCTGTACCCGACCCACCCCGTTGTCATTTCTACTAAACATGTAAATGTATCACCTAATAAATATAATTTAATTAGTTAATAACTACGACCTTAATTGATTAAATTTGTCATTTAATCCATTAAATATAGCATCGTTTTTTTTAGGAATTGAATATAGCATCGTTTAAATTTCTTTGTCATGTCTTTGTATTTAAACTCAAAAATTATACATGTGGATCTCATCACTTTTTATTTTATTTTTTCTTATTTATTTTCAATAAATAGACACATCGATTTCATAGTTGTTACAATAAGTAAGAATTAACTCTTCGATCACGACAATTATTTACATTTCATAACCATATTTTATTTTTAATTAGAAAATTCGAATACACATTCAATTAAATCTATTTCTAAATAAATAGGCATGTCAAAATATATACCGACAATACATAAAATATCTATTTTCAGCTTGTTTATATTTCCGTTGAATATAATTTGTAGTATAATCAATACATGTATGAATTAAATCAAAATATATAACTAATATTATTTTTAGGTTGAATAATCGAATTAGAAAGTTATCAATTTGTTATTTGGAATTTTTTTATCTACAAAAAATAAACACAATAAAAAAATCACAACAACTCATACAATGTAATTAAGCAACTAAGCTACTAAAATATAATTGAAGTCTATCCCAGTGAGATACGAACAAGGAATCAAACAAAACTTTACCTTCTACGTATCTAAGCCTACAAAAAACCGTACTAAATATGATAACGACGTGCTGTAGTTAAATGAATAATTAATTAGAATAACGACTTGTAATGTTATTTCCTAAATGAGTCGCGATTGTAATAAGAATAAGAATAGTAATAGCCACATTTTTTTATCAGGTCATGGTATCCCTCAGCCTATAATTATAGGCACAATAAATACAATTTAAAATGAGTTAAATTAATTATATATTATCAGAATTTGATTTAGTTAATGTTAAAATATTTTATAAATAATGAAATTATTTCAATTTTAGTCTCTCTCATATAAATAAACTAATTTCAAACTGTATAAAACGAAAACTTATAACTTTTCAAATATTTCTTAGGTGCATGTTTATATAAATAAGCTAAGTTCAAGCTTTATGAAATAAATATTTTAAAGCATCTAAGTAATATAGCATTCGTTATTAATTAATTAATTAATTAAAAATATTGTTATTCGCATCAAGGAACCTAGTGTCTTTTTTCTTTCTTTCCTGCCAATACTTATTTGATGAGAATGAAAAAAGTAAAAAAGAAAAAAAAAGTTAGTCCTATTATAGATGGTAAAAGATGTTTTAATTAGTTTTTAATTTTAATTATCAATTTTATCATAAATTAATAATTAAAAACATTATAATTAAGTTAATTTATTAAAAAATGAATTTATTATTGTTGTTTTTCATGAAATTTAAGTTTAGTTGGTTTTCAACTTTTCATCTCTACTTTTCTCACCACATTAAAAAATTTAATTTGGTGTAGTGTTTTTTGAATAGCAAACAAAGTATGAAGAATTGTTGTTAAAGAAAAAGTTTTATTTGGTATGACTGTCTTCAAAGTATTTTTTTATATTATATTATAAAAGTGAAATATTCACCAATTTTATTAATGATTTATAGAAAGTAGACTAATTATCTCATATGTAATTTTTCCCCTTAATCACATTTTCATCTACAATATTAGAATATGAATTATTTCTTAAGAGATTCAACTTCATATTCACTTGATTCAACTTAATATTGGTGACTCCAAATATTATTAATCGAAATTTCAAACTTAAATCATTATTTTTTCTTTATCAGTAAAAAAAATTATTATGTCAATAATAAAATCAATAAAAAATATTACTAAGACAATAATGAAAATCAAACTTAAATCTTCATGCAACAATCCAATTTTTCAATTACTAAACCCAAAAATTATCATTCAAAATCATATTCTAGAGACATTTATATTGTTGACAAAACACACTAAATTTCCAAATATTTATGCAAGTGAGTGAAAATTTAAGGTAAGTGAAAATCAATCCAATAGTCAATATGTACGTGATTCTTGAAGAATCTCACTATCATGATGACTACATAGGTAAAAAGAAGGAGCAATTAAACTTTTATGTCTCATTAATTTATGAATGGAATCATGAATCATTACTATTTTTTATCCATAAAAACTACAATGATTGCAACAAAATTTGAATGTAAAAATTTGTGCATATTACCCCTAGTCTCCCACTTAATAGGAAGAGGGGTAATATCTTAAACAGAAATTTTAAGTTTGTCTAGAAAACTTATAAGTGAGTGTTTCTAAAGTTTGCTTAAAAAATTATAATTTTATAGTATATGGTTAATATATATTGAAATGTTTCATGAACAAAGATAGAAGGTATCATATTTCAATAAATTTTAATTATTCAACTTTTTTTTTTTTATTATGGTGATATTTATAAGTGAAACCTAAAGACTTTAATCATCTTAACTTTTTGCATAAATGAAAAGAGTGAAGGGACTTGTAATAAATAGGTTTTTAAGTTTGTCACCTATAATCAAGGATTTCTCAAGCTTGATTACCAAATTTGTATTCATAATTGTCATGGTGAAAATATATATTGAAATGTTCGGTAGACAAAGACAAATGGTGTTAAACTAGGTTAAATTTGTATTATTTTTCTATTTTAATCATGGTGAAATATTTATGAACGAGACTTAATGATTTTAATTATTCTATCTTCTCACCTAAGTCGCAAGGAGGTGTTTGAGATTTTTAAGTTTATCTAAAAAAAACCTTATAATTAGAAGTTTTTCAAATTTACTTAATAAATTATAATTTTATTTAAATTTGTATCATGAAATGTTTTGTTGGGAAAAAATATCACATAACATTAAAAATGTATTATTGTGCTATTTTTATTGTGTTAAGATATTAATGAATGAGATTTATTTATTTTTATTTGTAGTAAGACTTAATTTTTATTGTTGTATCTTTTCACGTAAGGGAGAGAGAGGGGAAGGGGTTTGTTCATAAAACATTTCAAATTATTCCCAAATTCACCCAAAAGAAGTTCGATACAGCTATAGAAATGAATATATTGTAAGAGATAAAAGAATTAAAAAATAGTGGTGACGGGTGAGTGGTCACATAACCGTAGCTTTGGATTCTTTTTGTAAACGGTAAACAAAGCAAAGCAAAGCAACCGTCCATACATACGCAACCAATTAACAAGAGTGAATGTGACCTTTCGCCTAAACTAAACTTCCTCTCCCTCCCCTTCTTCCAGGAATAGGATACTCATATAGCCCAAGCCCAAGCCCAAGCCCAAGCCCAAGCCTCAGTTCAGAACCAACAATGCCCGTCGCCACGAAGCTCGAAACGCGAGGCATTTTGAAACCTGGCGGAAACAGAGTAAGCGTTTCGGGAGAGGCTATAGAGAAGAAGCTGAAGCCCAAGGTCCCTGACTCCGCTCTGCAAAGGAACGTCAAGCGTAACCCCGTCAGGCTTCTGCCTCCCAAGACCTGTGAATGGATCACTCCTAACTCTGGTAATCCTACTTGTGAGTTTATGATTAAATTTCTTTCCTACTTGTGAATAAAAACAATTGCTAAAATATTTATCACGTAAGAGTGTAAATATATATTAAAAATAAAAACTTGTTAATTACTTTTAAATTATGTGTGTATCTAACTTTAAGCAAAACTCTATATTTTGAAAACAGAACAAATATTTACGGTCTGTTATCGATATTTAATGTATCTGTATATTATATTTATTGTGATTGTAAATGTTTGACGATGGATGCCATAGTCACGAAGAAACCGCATTGCATACCAACTTGTCTTCTTCGTTTCTCATGGTAATAATTAATAATTATGGTCGTAAATGGGTTTTGTTTTGTAGTAGTTAAAGGTTAGTTACATACAATGTAGGCAAAAAAAATATTTTAAAGTTCGAACTACCTTTATTTCTTCTTCAATGGCTCGACAGTGATGAACTGGATTAAGCTAATTTCCAACATTTGAATGATAATAATCATCCTGCTTCATATTCTGCACGTAGCATCACCATAAGTCAAATGTCGAGCCATATATGACAACTATTGGTTTAAATATGGACATTAAGTTACATTATGGTGTAGTTTCTTTAAGTGTTATCTTTATAGCTCTTACCGCATCTTTATGAATCTAGTTAATGATATGAAGGTGGTGGAACTGGAATTGGGCTTACGTTTTTTTTGCTCTACTAAGTACTAACTTCCATGCATGTGCTTCTGCATAGCTAAAACATCTGAGACAGGTTTCCCCCAACGGATTTTTGTTGAAAGGCCTCTGAGAGAATATAATTTGGTTTTGCTTTCTAGTTGGTTATCCTCTGTACCTCTTTGATCTAAAAGCCCATTTTAGCTTTGGATTCAGTTTTTCGTGTAATTCTGCGATTTGTGATAGTTCTAAATTTCCAATGTTGTTGTAGGGAACTGGGAACTTGATTTTTGGAAACTTAATTTAGTATTGGCAACTTCATTTTTGGCAAAGAATGCTGGTTTTTCACAGTTCCGACGATTTTCGAAAAATTCAAATCAAACTATTCAATTCATTTTTTAAAACTGGTTTGATTAATTGAACGATTTTTTATAAAGTAGATTAGTTTATAAAAAAAAAAAAACTGGAAATTTTTAAATTAAATCAGCTCTATATAATTTGGTTATTCACTTTATACTCATATATACAACTTAATTTATAAAAAAAATAAATTAAACTAAAGCAATTAACTTAATAGAAAAAAGTTCAGTCAACTAAATCAACTTTTTATAAAGCAGACGGGTTTAATTTTTTCTCAAAATATATCAACTCTTTATAATTTGTATCAACTTAGTTTGTCGTTTCGATTTGGTTCAAATTTTTCCCGCACTCTATTTAAACTAGAGGGTGCATATTACCCTACCCCACTGATAGGATTTCCTTATCAAGAAATCTTCTTTGATTCTTAGCAGATCCCCTTTATATTGCTTTCCATGATGAAGAATGGGGTGTTCCAGTTGATGATGATAGAAAGCTATTTGAGCTTCTTGTCTATTCACAAGCATTGGCAGAACGCAGTTGGCCAGCAATTCTTAACCAGAGAGACATATTCAGGCATGTTAATCTCTAAATCAACCTATTTTTTAAACCATGAGACTTAATTTAAGTGCATACTTAAACCATGAGACTTATTATTTGACATCTTTCACAGGAAGTTTTTTGAAAATTTTGAACCATCATCAGTTGCACAGTTTACTGAGAAGAAATTGCTCTCGCTGAAAATAAACGGCAACTCGTTGTTATCAGAACCAAAGCTCCGTGCCATTGTGGAAAATGCTAAAAAATTACTTAAGGTAACTCCAAAATTAATGCTTCTTTTTAAGCAAATACTATATTGGAAAATTCTGAGTTGAGATGTAAAAATCACATGGCCATTGGTTTGACTTATCCTTTTACAGG